ACCACTGAGAAACCTTTTGTTAGAATCTTTTTGGGGTCAAGCTATATTTGCAGCTAAAGCCTTTTTCTTTTCAGTTGATATTGTGATTTAGTGCTAAACAGAGATTGCTATTATCCAAGTTATCACAAACCAACAGACACACAGTGTCATATTTTATATTAGATAAACTGGACATATATTTATGTTGAATCAACATAAAGGTTAGGTAAATATAAAATATGTGTTTCACAATCTGCTTCTTTTGCTTTACTTAGCCCAAGTGACAACAGACATTTTCATGTGACACTATTTGCAAACTGAAGCACACTTTCTCCAGAAGCATCAACAGGTGTCAACAGGAAGTGGTCTTTAGGAGTCACTTCAGGCCTTTCATCTTTCTATGTTCATTGTGTTAAACATTAATGTGTTTATGTCTGACATTGCCATACACTTTGAAAAGAGATAGTTTTGTCAGACATTTGGCTGGTATGCATGTGAAACCGGAAGGCAGCAAAGTGTTCCGTAACTAAATGAACTGTGATGGTCTTGTGGTTTTGTCCCATGATGCTTAGAGGGCTTTGCACGCATGCACCACCACATTGCTGGTCACACTGTAGATGATGCTGACAATGGACGGTGACATGTTGATTTTCCTTTTAGCTCTGTGCTTCATATGTGTGTCTTCGGATGGTAAGGCCTTTTTTGAAATTAGAGAACGAAAATATTATTTTGATAAAAATGTTTAATAAATGCCTCTTTTGCTAAATTGATTTTTTAAAATCTATTTGTACATTGATTAAAATATATTTCTACCATGTAAACTGAATTTAGATTGTATTTTTTCTATTTATATTTCGATATATGTTATATATACTGCCGATGTCATCATTAAATGTTGTTTATTGATTAATCTATAATGGGCTTCTTTATAATGATCTGCAGGCAGATTTAGAATCTGTTACATTACATGTCTTTTATTCAGTTTCAGTGTTATATGATATGTTTTTAAACAGCTAAACATTCGAATTTATTCTCAACCCTGATCAATAACTTTGCTGCTGCTTGTCATATGTAGTTACTGTATTTCTGACACATGGTCACTGTACGTCTATCATGTATTGTTTGCATATGTCCTGTGTCTTTGTTCTTTCCCTTCGGGGATAAAGTAAAAAAGTAAAAAGTTTTCTTTAATTGAACTGAATTGAAAGGGTTGAGTAGAAGAAGAGTTTCTACTGGTGACCTAAACTTTGAATCTTGTTATTGTATTTCCCTCTTCCTGTTAAGATGACTGCTTTGAGAATCCTGAATCTTGTAAGACTCAGAAGCTCAGCGCTCCACTTGGGTCCTCTGTGCTCCTCCATTGTGACTTTACAACACATAACTTCAGCTGGGTGTCATGGATCCACAGTGAAAGTCACCTGGTCCGCCTCAAATCTGACGGGATTATTAAATTCATAGACCCCAGACATGGCCGTGTGAAAGCCTTTCCAAACCATGCCTCAAAGGGGAACTACTCCATCAGCATCGATGAGCTAAAAGACACTGACCTGGGATGTTATCGCTGTGTGCACCATAATGACTGTCTTCAAGTAGAATTGATTGAGAGAGGTGAGAGGATTTCTATTTTAATGTTTGACGGAATTGTTTTTCTCACTTCTGAGCTGCTGTCTGAGCAGAGACACCAGGCCTCTTCCTTTCCATGTTCACAAATCTAGTAGGCCACACAAGTAAGGCTAGAGTTTCCTGTGAGATGCATCTTTGTAAAACCACAACTTTTCATGCAGCTTTACAGAGCGAGTTGCTGCCACTGGTTTACACCTGTGTTGGCGTAGCTGCCTTAATCCTGCTGACTGCTGGTGGCTACTTCTGCATAAAATGCATATGTGAGTACCTGCCACACAGTCGATAGAAGTGTGTGGTTTGTTAGTTCCAAGGATCGGTGGATGGATGAACAGATGGTTATTTAAAAACTTTTTTTTTCCCCCAGTGTGCTGCATTCACAGACCACAGGACAACACGATCAATATTGTAAATGTAGGAAATGACGGTAAGCACAGTTATTTTCACACCAGAGCACAGGAATATAAACGTAGTTATCCAATTTTGTTGATGAGGTCTTTAATTTTGTCAATCTCGATCTTCCACTGCCACTGCTAAAATCAATGCCCCCACTTCTAGTTGTAGGACGCATGTCTAGATGTTTTATCATTAACTTATTATTTTTAATTAGGCTATTATTTAATAGGCAATTGAGCCTAATAGTTTCATCTGTTGTCTCTGACCTGTTTTTAAGGCAACTTAAATTTGAATAACATTTGATTTGTTATGAAGAGTATCTGTTAAAAGTCATTATATAAAGATATATCACGCACAGGAAATTAAAAATGTACATCACAGAGCACATAGGAAAAGATTTTGAGATATACAGAGTCTTTCAATGCTTGCTAAATGTGAATTGCTAGCACCAGAAGGTGACTAGCTTAGCTTAGCACAAAGACTGGAAAAAGGAGTGAACGGCTAGCCTGTCTCTAGCCACAATAGAGCACAATTATGAGCAACTTGGTCATAAAGCAGTAGTAATTCCAAATTCTGAGTTATCCAAAATTTCGGACAGCATCAAGGTTCAACAACCCGTTGGCAAAATGACTGCAACGGCAGTTATACATCCAGTTAACACAAATACAATGGATTCAATTCATTAAAAACTGTTGTTAGTTAAAGTAGCTAATTTGAAATATTTTAATGATGGGACTACAGGACCAACAATGTGCCTGAAGGTAAAAAATTCACCTACCAGTTTATTAAAACTAATTAGTTAACTTAATAGAAGTTTTTAAGTTAATTCATATAATGTCTCACTGCAGGTGCCAGTGCTCCACCTGTGGACACAGTAAATGTGCAGCAGAGAGGTAATCTATGGCAATAACAACACACACACACAGTCACACACAGTCACTTAGTCTCAAATGTGTTACATTGGGTTCCACCTCAAAAAATATTAGACATAATAAGTACCACCATTATGTCAGACATTAAAATACAATAGTGTAGGCCGACCCTAGCTCCAGCTCATGCAGGACTGTTGTTGAATGGGAACCGGTTCAAGAACCAGGGCTTATTTGGTGGATAAGGGGTACTGGTCCACACTTCTTATAGTATCTGTTTGGAGCAGCCCATGATTGCAGCGTTTTTGAACTATTCATTTTACCTCTGTTTACTAGCTTACATTTTAGCTTGTAACTAATCATGGATATATGCCAGTTCTACACTCATGAACTTGACGCAGCAACAAAATATTACAGGAAATGCAAAACCTATTTTAAATAACATTTCAGCAATTATTTTCATTTGTCATTTTGTAGTATTTGGATAGTGTTACATGTTTTTAAATGAATTCATTTTATTTTTTTAATATATATATTTCAGAAATTCCCCTGTGTACCACTAGAGGCAGCTTGCATATCAGGGGTAGTGCACATACCATAGTTTGAAAAACACTGTTACATAGTATATGTGATGCATATACTTGAAGTAATATTTCTGTTTTGTTGCATTATAATGTGATGTTTTTCTCTTTCCTACAGGAGAAGATAATCTTGTTTATGGTGCGTTCACACACACAGCTCTTCTTCCTCCTTTGATCCTTTATTCCTATGTCATCTGTTGATTCATCTTTTAAATTTAATTTTTTTATGTTTTAAATATCAGAAAATGATGACCAAGGCTCAGTCAACCAGCAGGGCACCAGAAATCAGTGCAGTCTGCCAGGAGTTCTGCCTGAACAAAGCACAAGTGGGATTTATCCAAACTTGAACCAGTTTAATGTTGAGAGGGTGGAAAGTCAGAGAAGAAGACTGCGATTGCATACAGGTGCTTAATATTTAATGGCATTACTACAGTTTGTGTTACTGGTGACTTATCATCTTATTATGAGAAACTGGAGTCATTCAGTCTTCTCTCACCTTTCCAGAACTCTTTAGCAGATTACGGCAAGCAAGTCTCAGTCGTCATTACTACGGTAATATGAGCATCTTTTATTATAATCACATCATTATATTAGTGCTGTCAGGAATTTCACTCATAAATTTTATTACACAGTGAACCGAGATGAACTCAGCAAGCAACAAGCCATGCCAGCTCCGGCAGGGAATCAGCGCAGAGGTATTTAGGTTTAATGTCATCCATCAGAGTCATTTATCTGTGCATGAGAATAAAGAGCCTAATGTGAAACCAAAAATCTGTTTGATCAATCACTGAAGTGTTTTGTTTTGCAGGTTTAGGGAAGAAGAAAGTCAACGAAAGTGAGTCCTGACTTCATCTGTGGGAATGTTCGAGATTAAATGATACTGTGCGCTGAACTGCCACTTCTCCATTGTTTTCTTCTCAGATTGTGAATACAAAAACCCGATTTACAACAGGAGCACAGATGAGCTCAACCGCCTGTAAACAACCAAGGACACAGTTTATATAATATTTGAGATATTGGTTAAACTTACTTACTTATACATTGTATTTCACTGCCTGCACATCTATTAGACAGTGTTTGCTGTTTGGTAGAGTTCAAATAAAGATTTTGTTTTGTGATGGTCTTGTGTTGAATGAGACAAACCTGTGTATGTGAGATGTGTTAAAAATGTATTGAAACCATGTCAATTACTTTCAAACCACTTTTTACCCTTTAGTTTTACTTGCAGACAAAATATAAGCCTTTTGGGTGTTTTGACTTTCTGATTCACCTGCATGGGGGAAGCCCACAGGAGGAACAATCTCCACAGAGGCCACACAAAGCAGTTGATTTAATTGATTGATTTTTTCATGCTGTGAGGAGGCAAAGGGAGTTTTTTTTTACTTGCTTTCACTCTCATGGGAGTCGTGCCAATCAAGCTGAATGAGAAGCAGCTGCTCCAACTGTCAGGGAGTCTCAGTTTCCAAAGATGAAGGCCTACAGTACAGACTTCATTTTGGTGACATTTATTTCATTATCACTACTTCTTTTGAGATGTAAAGCTGCCTTAAAACAATTTCAAGCAACAGTCCATAACACTATGAACAATCACACATCGATTTGCCATGATGGGTTCATGTCTGTTTCCATATCAAAGGTGCAATTTGCTGATCTTCCTTTCGCCATTTATGTTCAGGGTAAGTCCGATGCTTAAAACATATCTTCTCGATCATGACACATAGCTTTGACATGTTAGCTATGCTCTTGTTTGTGTCCAAATTTACACACAGATGAACACAGCGGATATTACCAAGCCATCGCTGTAGCAAAACAATGCCACTACATCCTTGGCGAAACTGACACCTTCATTATCCTAACAGTTGCTTTTCACGGATGTTTTGTGAGAAGACAAGTAAGCTGAAAGGTCTTTGGAGTGTGTGGTTATCTTTAATTCAGATATATCCAACTGTCTTATTCATTTTCTAGTCTTTCTTTACCACTTTGTTCAATAGAAATATACCACAGATCTGACTGTTGTCATCATGGCACTTGCAGACAGGGGAAGAGTTGAAATTGTCAAGTCAATACCCCTCATCTGTCAAAGGAAAATTAAAGGTATGATTCAAAGTGTACAGATAAATATAACACTATGTTTCAGTTTCAATTTAGTTATAGTAGTTAGTAGTCATTAAATCTCAGTGTGTTTTCTACAGAAGTGAACAGAATTGATTATCCACTGGTGTCAAGACATTTGTTCTGCAACAAGAATGGGTTCAACATTACCATCCCTCAGAATGCCACAGTCCCACCTCTGAACGTGGATGCAGTCTGGATCCCTTCGAACCAAAGCCACGCCTGTAAACCCAAAAAAAGATCCATGGAGGCTGTCACTTTCAGCTTCTCATTCTCTGACTGTGGCACTCAGTCCATAGTAAATATAAATAAATTCCATCCCATCCGTATTCTTTAGACAGGCCATATGGTATTTTTGTGCCTAAGTTTGGTTGTGTCTTACAGACAGCAGATGGCTTTATATCCTACTGGGTCAACATTGAGGTGAAACAACATCTGCAGAGAGGCTCTGTATTCCGTGACACTCCGTTCCAGTAAGACATTCAACCCTTCTCTTGCTTTTTAAAGGCAATAGACATTCATTTTATTTTAATTTAATTTAATTTATTTTTTTTAGTCTTACTGTGCGTTGTACCTTTGCACTGGCCCAAATTACTCATCTGGGCATCGAGGTTCAGGGAGAAAAGTTCCTGTCAACACTGAAGAGTGAGGGAATCTTGAGGACTGAAATGAGGTTTTCCAAAGGTCAAAATTTATATTTTAAAGAATTTTATTCCTTATTTTTTACTTTTATTGTCTATTATGTATTATGTGATATTCAACAAAATATCCATAGAAAGTACCATCAAGATTATAAATTAACTGAAGGGCCAGTTTCAAACATAAAGCCCTCTAATATATAATTATTTTTTTACTAATACTTTATCTATAGATTCCAAATACGGGTCTTTCTATTCATTTCAAGACCCTCCAATCATGACTGAGCTTGGCCAGCCTGTGTATGTGGAAGTGTCTGCTCTTAAACATAAGGACAAGGATTTGACGCTGCTGCTCCAGGACTGCTGGGCGACACCGACTAAAAACCCACATGACCCACAACGATGGAACCTGCTTGTTAAAGGGTGAATTCACATGAAATTAATGAGGATATTTTACTGATATTATGTTTGAAAGCTCAATTACATGTAATTTAATGTTTCTGTCCAATCCAGATGTCCTTTCACAGGTGATAACCACAAAACAGTTGTGCTGCCAGTTGTCTCCAGTAAGGAGCTGAAGTATCCCTCTCTTCATAAGTGGTTTGTGGTCAAGATGTTCTCATTTGTTAAGCCCCCAACATTTGAACATTTGGTAAGGGATTGTTTTTTAAATGAATTGTTGGTGTTTTCTGGGGGAGATTTATTTTTAAATAGTATGTTCTCCTTCAGGTATATTTCCACTGTGATATAGAGATCTGTAAAGGACCAGATTGCTCACAGTCCTGCAGCAGTGGTAAGTGGAGCTGCAGCCTATTTATGAATCTATTTTGGGTTAATGATTGCCGCACTTGCTTGCATGTAGGACTGAACGATAGTCTCTGTTTTTCCTTGTTTTTCAGGAAGGCGTAAATTAAGAAGAATCACACCAGGGTCAGGACAAAGGATTCTTTACAGTGTAGTCTCTGGTGGACCACTTCTTTATCTACTGTAAATAACCAAGTAGTCTAGTCAAGTCATATTTGGAACTGTTCTGTGAAAAATAAATCTGTACTGTACTATAAAAGTGATTTTAGTCTTTTTCACTTTCAATTACTTTTGATTTTATCAAATTAACTTTTAATAATGCAAGTTCTCAGACATTTCCAGGTTTCTTTTGGTCTTCTATATTTGATGATGGTTTACAGTGGTAAAGGCTCGTATTATTTAACATAAATAATGTTTTAGGAATACGTATCCCTCAGGTTTTTTTTTTCTTCACCTTATATAGATAGAAGATATGATGTATGCATTAATCTATCTGTGGATGATTACCTTTACCTTTGGTTGGTGGGCTCGAGGTGAGGACCTCAGAGGCATCTTATAAATAATTTGGGGAAATTTCACATCCAGAAATATTATTAATATGATGGGTTCTTATTCCTTTTCCACACATAGAAAGCAGCCAATATTCTGATTTAATTTTGTTTGATTGAATAAACAGACTAATGTAGTAATAAACAAATCGACATAATGACTTTTTATGCTGTATTTGTATAATTATTTGGTGCTTGCAGATGTAAATAAAAGTGGTCCAGATAGACTTTTATTGTGGTAGAGTAGCTTAAGTCACGTGCTCACAAGTCGACCAATAGAAACGCAGAATGGGTAAGTTTGCGGAAGTTATCGAGCGAGCATGTCGTCGTTGAAACGAGAGGAAGAAATGTAAAAGTCGTCGTTGTTTTGTAAAGTTTAATACTGTCTGTTGGCACAAAAACCAACTAAATCTGTCCCCAATGATTAACGCAAGTATTTATTACCTCCGTTGAGCTCACCACGCTGATATCTGCTGGGTAAGATAGTCAGAGTTGTTAGCTATGTCTAAATCAAAGCGGTGGGACTCAAAAGTAAATGAGTCCAGAAACTTGCCGATCTATCAGCACAAAGCCAAGCTGATTGAGGCTGTCAAAGACAGCACTTTCCTGGTGGTCACCGGTGAGACTGGCAGCGGGAAAACTACACAGCTTCCACAGTACCTGTATGAAGCAGGTGAGCTGTCTCTGTTTATATGAAGTTTAACTACATCCAGACAAGCGTAGATACAATTTAATGCGAGTTTGTTGGTTTAACTAATACAGCAGCAGACCTGTATGAATTTAGGATACAGATGTGACCATTGGAATCTAACATGAACCCCTTCCTCTTCTTTCTTTTGTGCAGGTGTTTGTAAAGATGGCAAAGTCGGCATCACCCAGCCCCGCCGGGTGGCTGCCATCACGGTGGCCCAGAGGGTAGCCCAGGAGATGCAGTGCACTCTGGGTAGAGAGGTTGGCTACCAAGTACGCTTTGATGACTGCACAACACAGGTGAGAGGCAAAGACGACTGATCCCCTGTAACCAACCCAGTGTATTCATCGTAAATATCCCATAACGCGAAGATGTGACTGTGTTTGAGCCAGGACACGGTGGTGAAGTACATGACCGACGGCTGTTTGCTCAGAGAGGTCCTGGCAGATCCTGTACTTTCTCAGTACAGTGTTGTAATCTTGGATGAAGTCCACGAACGCAGCCTTAACACAGTGAGTCAATATATGACACCGACGCAGTGTCGTTCATTCTGCACGATACTGCTGGATACACATTTTTCTTGAGTGCAGACATTGATTACGTGTATTTGTTGCAGGACATTCTCCTGGGTTTATTGAAGAAAATCTTCTCCGACCCTGCTAAGGCCACCAAGGGCCGATCTTTCCCTTTGAAGGTGGTGGTGATGTCCGCCACGTTGGAAACTGAGAAACTCTCAGCGTTTCTCGGCGACTGTCCCGTCTTTTCTATTCCTGGCAGGACTTTTCCTGTTACCTGCACGTTTGGCTTTGCTGTAGGACCCAAAGACATAGAGAGCACTGGTTATGTAAAAGAGGTACTGAGTTTGAGCTTTGAGTCACGTGTTTGGGTTTCTTTATTTTAACTAACATTCATTAAACAAGTTTAGATGCGTGTTGTTGGCATTCATTTAATCTGGCATCTTTTGCTCCTCAGGTAGTCAAAGTGGCCCTTGATGTGCATACCAGTGAAATGGCTGGGGATATTCTTGTGTTTTTGACAGGTAAGTTATAATCATCAGCCTCTGTCACTAGGGATGTAACTACACACTTAACTCACAATTCACGATTCAATTTTCTCATGATCTTTCCAACATAATGAGATTGAAGAAAAATTCCTCTACAAGTATATTTTCTCTTATATTGTTTTATTTCTAAGGTAGGTTATAAAATGTGTAAATGTAAAACGGAAGTCTTTGCTCCTTGATATCACGATTAATTTTATATGTCACTGATTTGAATCTTCACTGATTTGTTTAGCGATTTAACTGTCTCTGGATATATCTTTACGTTCTTATCTATATCAGTATACTTCTTAACCCTGACAAAGTCTGACATTAATTCTGCATGTTTGACAGGTCAGTCAGAGATTGAGCGTGCCTGTGACTTGTTGTATGAGAAAGCTGAGTCTATAGACTACCGCTACGATGTACAGGACCAAACAGTGGAGGGCCTTCTTATTCTGCCTCTTTATGGATCCATGCCCACCGGTAAATGCCTGCAACTGTTGCATCTTTTGCTCATCTCATTGTTTAGTAGATTAAAATGTTCGCCTGTTCCAGATTAAGTCAGTGTATTTCTTTGTGATTTTACTGTAATTAAACTGCAAAATAAAACAGAAATACTGTGAATTTATAATTTTTGGTCTCGTCACAGATCAACAGAGGCAGATCTTTCAGCCTCCACCCTCAGGAATAAGGAAGTGCGTAGTGGCCACTAACATTGCAGCAACATCTCTCACCATCAATGGCATTAAGTGAGTGAGGCCTGTGGTCACTGGCTTAGCACAACAACAGTGAATTGTTTGTGTAATCAGCATCAATCTGATATTTCCCAGAAATCTCTGCAAAAAAACCCAACATAATTCTTGTACATTTTTCCCCCATAAAGGTACATCATAGACAGCGGGTTCGTGAAGCAACTCAACCACAACTCAAGGGTGGGCATGGATATCTTGGAGGTGGTGCCTATTTCAAAGTGAGTTTTATGTCATTTGGAACCAGCGAAAAGGATTTGTTTAAGTAATTTTACTGCTGACACCAATGCCATTAAGAGAGCTTACCAGTAGAGATTTGGACTGGATTCTTTTGGGGGGATTTTCTGTGATTAGGAGCGAGGCCCAGCAGAGAGCGGGTCGAGCTGGAAGAACTTCAGCCGGGAAATGCTTTCGAATCTACACCAAGGAATTCTGGGAGAAGAGCATGCCTGAATATACAGTTCCGGAAATCCAGAGGACAAGTCTGACTGCAGTGATACTCACTCTCAAGTGCCTGGGTGTTCACGATGTCATCAGGTACACTGATGCCCATTATGAGGCTGTTTGGTTTCCCACAGTTCATCATGTCTTTAAGCTCTCTTTACCCTCTTTAGTAACAAGTTGTTTTCTTTTAAGGTTCCCTTATCTGGACTGTCCCGAGGAACGGTTTATTCTCGAGGCATTAAAACAACTCTACCAATTTGATGCTATAGACAGGTGAGCGGTTATACCTGTGGACCAGAATCAAGCTTTAAGTTTTCCAAGCACAGCAGTAGCTTTGTTTACAGTGAAATTTCACAAGCTCTAATCTCGCCGGTGTGTTGCCTGTAGGAGAGGTAGAGTGACCCGGCTGGGGGAGCTGATGGTGGAGTTCCCCCTGCATCCAGGCCTTACCAGGGCCGTGCTCAAAGCAGCCTCGCTCGGTTGTCAGGACCTGCTTCTCCCCGTGGCTGCCATGCTGTCTGTAGAGAACATTTTCATCAGGCCAGGTCAGCACTTTAAAGCAGAACTGTGTTATCTGTTTCTATATCTATATTTAGGTTATATCAAGCGAGTAGCAGAGATATTAAACATTCTTTTATTACTTATTTAGTGTGTAAGGAAATTGCATATGCAGAGAAGTGCAGTGTGAAGTCTTGGGCTTCGAGTTTATCCATTTTTGACTCATCTCGTCTTTCCTGCAGGTCACCCTGAGAAGCAGAAAGAGGCAGATAAAATGCACAGAGCACTGGCTACCAAGAGTGGCAGCATGAACGACTTCGCCACACTCCTCAGTGTGTTTCAGTCGTGTAAATCCAGGTGAAGAATTTCACTGACCAATGCTGCCAGATGCATCCATATTTCTTCTTTTTGTGTGTGCAAATAAATCACCTGCCATGTATTCAGGGCTTGATGCCACGTAATGATATTATCACAAGCCTTTCTCTTACGTCCTGCAGTGACAGACCGTCAGCGTGGTGTAAGGATAATTGGATCCACTGGAGGGCGCTGAAGTCGGCCTTTAGTGTGGAGACTCAGCTGCGAGAGATCCTCCTCCGCCTCCAACAGGTTTGCAGAGCTGCTGTGATAGAGCTTGATTGCGCTCCACATTCATGTACTTGAACAATTGTAGTAAACATTTTTTGCAGTTTGGAATTTATAAATGAATTCAATTTGAAAACACACTGCTCTGATAATTAATTTGAGTGTGATTAATATTTTTTTTTCCTTGCAGAAGAGAGATTTCCCTGTAGAAACATTCGATGGCAATAAGAGTGAAATCTTCAGACGATGCCTGTGCGCAGGATACTTTAACAATGTTGCCAGAAGGTACAACCAAGGTTCATTTCAAATTATCCATATTTAACTCTGCTTTAGGATTCCTTTACTCTGTCTTAGTAATGTCATTGTTTTGCTGGTTGTGACAAATTATTCAGTTTGTCTTTTTTTTTTTTTTTTCAACCCACATAGGTCTATTGGAAAGATGTTTTGCACAATGGATGGCAACGGATCCATGGTTCAAATTCATCCATCATCATCGGTAAGCGTGTCTTCGTTTAGAAAATACTACTAATAAAACAGGGTTTTCATGGAGGACAACTCTCATCCTTCTCTGATTTCTCCTTGGTTCGTCATTCCTCGCTGCTCGAAGCTGTTTGACCAGGAGGCTGAACTGAACTGGGTCATCTTCCACGATGTGATGGTGACCTCACGGGTCTATGTCAGGACCGTGTGTCCTATTCGATATGAGTGGGTGAAGGACTTACTACCTAAACTCCATGAGGTGGACGCCTACGAGCTGAGCAGTGTGGCAAGAGAAGAAGTGACTGATGAGGAGATGATAAAATGGGAGACCAGGGAAGCAGCCAAAAGACAACCAGGTTTCCAAAAATAATTAATTAGAAAGTTATTTGTTGATTGTGATGTTATGCAGCTTAATGGTTCATTTGAAGTCCCTGCTATGATCATGCAAGAAACGGTCAGTCTGCCTAACAGGGTTAAATCAAAAGGCCATTAAGGCAGGAGTCTCTTTTTCATTTAATTTCAATTGTTTTCAGGTTAAAACATGGCTACGCTGTGTCATTTATAATAAACTACTTGTTCTTTTTTTCAGAGGTTTCTACTGAGGATGTCTCGAAGAAACTGGAGAAGCGAAACAATGAAACCACTGTCAGCGATGCTCGTGCTCGCTACCTGCAACGAAAGCAAGACAGACAACAAAGTAAAGCTCTCTGACAGAAAGCTTTGGCGGACATGAGTCATTCAGGGTATCAAAAAGAAGCTTCTTTTTTTTGTTTTTGGTTTGTTTTGTTTTTTTGGAAATGTTTTCAGAATAATAAACATTTATAACATTTTCTCTCTGTTTGATCACTCCACTTTACACACAGTGCTGTAGTAGTTAAAGGTTCACATCTAAATCATAAACAGTGAGTAGACTGACAGATAACCTATGTGGAGAGGAGGTGGGAGCACACATTTTGGGACATTTGACACGAGTCTTTTGAACTTTTTTTGCTCTACCTATCTCTACACCAGCTCTGCACAGTCCGGCCGAGGTTAAGGTTACACTATATAGTACTTGATGTACTTTCACACCGACTGTTCAGGTGCAGTGGACCCTCTCTGGCCTCGTACGTCACTTCCTTTGTATTTGTCTGCGGGGCTGCTGTACTGTCTGGCTGGGACGGAGGGTTTCCACGCTTAGCAGGCGACTAACCGCATTAAACCCCATAAAGAGGCGGGTTTTTTTTTATCCGTCCGGGATTTGGAAATCATTTGTCGTCGTATTCAACATAACCAGCCATCAAGTTGGAGCTCAGTGGACTTTATTCTCTCGCTGGCTCGCTTACCCTTCAGTGAACCACTGCAGCAGCAGCAGCAGCAGACCAAGCACGCCGCCGCCGCCGCTGTTGTTGTGAGAGAAGAAAACAAGCTCGGCAAAGGGTTAGTCCGCTAAGCTGTGTGATCATTGACAGAGTTCAATACACACAGGCGTCAAGTGATAGCTGGTGGGAGCTTTGTGCAGCGTACCTCCGAGCCTCTTCAAGAAACCCGACAGCTGGGGACATTTAGTGGCTGAAGTCGAGGTAAGAGACGCCGGGGTAATGAGGAGAAGTAGCGCAAGCGGCTAACTAACGTGCTAACTAGCTGTTAGCTCGGAAGCTATGTTGGCTAGCTGCCTTGTTTGGTCGTGGTGCGGTCATGGTCCGTGTCCTCACTGCTGTCCGAGGCGCCACCGGGACAGACTGCCCACCAGCTTTAGCTTTAGTGTCGTAGCGACTTGTTTACTGTCAAGTTGAGGTAGGAAAGCCACCGACCTGCCCTGGACCTGGAAGGTACCGTGTCTTGACTTTGCCCCAGTTAGCTCGTCTCACACTGGGGATGATGATGTGTTCATGTTGGGTTAATGTTTACGCTAGGCAGCTCGTGGTTGTGCTGGGTGTAGTTTGCCATTTTCCAGACTTCAATGAAATATATTTATCTAACTGGATACCTTTGTAAAGCACTGATGTGTGTGTGTGTGTATATATATATATATATATATATGTATATGTGGCCTCTGTATTATTTCCTCAAGTTGTGCTAGCGACATGTAAACCAAGTGTCTTAACGCTTGACTGGATATTGTAGCTACGTTAGACCTCCTGACCATTGGACCTGTTTCTTGTTTAACTGGTGAACAATCTACAGGGAAGTTACTGTTGTTGTTCTGCTCGTCAACACCAGCCACTATGACTCCGGCCATTCAAATAAGTAGGTGTAGTAGAGCCTCTGATGGCCCTAAAACAGTCCGACGTGGTGGGAAGCCTTATCTTGTTTTTATCTTTGTAAACAAAGCAGTTCAAACAGTCTTTGTATTCTGCTGACTGTATGCACTGTAATATTCGACCCCATCACTTTCACTGAAATGCTGTGAAATTCTGGTAAACCCATTATCTAACATAAGCTGTTGATTCAGGGCTGACCCGGGGTCACCAAGGCCTCTCCACAAACATTCAGCAGGAGCTGTGGGAGCCTCTCACATTTGTCAGTAAACAGCCTTGCAGCCGTTTTTTTGCTAATCTTTAGATCAGTGGCATATTCGATATTTGATTTCTAGCTGGCGTCACCAGTAACAATAGCTAGTGCATTTAGACACGTTATCCCATGACACTGAAACACTGAGGTACACAAGGGAGAGCTGGGTGAGAGGATGTAGGTTAGGTGCCTGATGTTGTAAGATCTCGCTCTTGGTCACGACAGTCATTCTGTTAGTCCCCTTTTGGATGTCACGCTGTCATAAGTGTCAGATGGACAGATATGAGCTGGGGAGCGGACGTGCATATTTCAGCAGTTTTCTTTGTTGTGGAGTTGTGTTTCAAGGCAAAAGAGTGCCACAGAAGGTGAGGAATTTATTCAAGCGCCGTGCTGTGGTGACAACACTCAGATAGGGATCAAGAGCAATACACAGAAAGTTTCCTTTGTTTTGAGAAATCGGTTTCACTTTATGCCTTAACCTCCACCTTCCTGGCTTTAGTTTTACTTCCTTCAGGCCATGTGTCTTTTCACATTTTATTTTTCAGCGTTCCTCCACGTCTGAGAAGGCAAAAAAAAACAAAAAAATGCACCCAAGGCCACGATTTGATTCAAACTGAGAACTTGAATTGGTAATAGTCAAAAGTATCTCAGCTGTTTTGCTCACACGGTGTGGTTTTTAACAAAGCGTGACATTGCACTGACTCATTTTGAGTATTCACTTGACATTCTGTTAGTTTTGTGCTGTTTTGTTCTGATGCAGATGGTTTACCGCCCGTCTCGTGTGAATGCGTGTCGATGGTCTCTGTCGGTTGTAAAGACACATCAAAGCTACACGAGTATTGTTGCTGTATTTTATGGACAGTCTGTGTAATTTTGTTTTCTGCATTAACAGTATTTCTTTCTCTTCTTTTCCTCCAGGTATTATATTATATAGGTTTGTTTTTTTTTTTTAAATCTGAGCCACTTTCAGGCACTTGACCAATAGGAAAGGTTTGCACAATTTCCACCAGCTTGTCTGCAGCCCCCTTCCAACCCAGAGAGTCTTCTGCCCCAGCATGAATGAAGTCAGTGTTGTGAGAGAGGGATGGCTTCACAAGAGAGGTAAGGGGGCCCGTTGTGTCCACATCCAAAATCTGCATTTTGGTTATTAAATCCTAACCTCGTAGGTTTGTAAGGTATCTGTCAAGTTTGCAGCTTCCTGATTGGTGGAGCGGACAACTGTGCCCTGCTCAGTGCAGCCACTTACAAAACATTCCTATCGTTATAATATTGTCACAGGGAGTAGTGTATTTAGCCATATCAAAGCCAAACACACAAGCAAGTAGTCAAACATTAAAGTTAGTTGACAGTTGGATTCAACATCTGTCTGTTTTTCAGGTGAATACATTAAAACATGGCGGCCTCGTTACTTCATCTTAAAGAGCGATGGATCTTTCATTGGTTACAAAGAGAAGCCCGAGATGTCCAGTGACCACAGCCTCCCACCACTCAACAACTTCTCAGTCGCAGGTTAGTTTTCCCTTCTGGCTGGCACTTTTCAATAAGTGCCGGATTTAACTGCTAGAAGTGCGTTTATGTTTCATTGTCAGTGCCTTCGGTTCTTCAGCGTTAACCGGTTGTGTGATGTGTCTATGCCTTGTAGAATGCCAGCTGATGAAGACAGAGCGCCCCAGGCCTAACACATTTGTCATCCGTTGCCTGCAGTGGACCTCAGTTATTGAGCGAACCTTCCACGTGGACAGCAACGAGGAGAGGTAAAGGATTAATTCCAATGGTTTTATTTTTTACGTTGTATTTTCTGTATCTTTGGTAGAATAGGCCTTAGTGAAAAAGTGCTGCCTGTAGTGGACTTAGGCCAGTACATCTGTGTATTAAATTTACACATAAAAAATATGAAAAACAACTTCAGTCCAGACTTCAAGTCATTTCTGAAAAGTTGTCTGTCAACACCAGAACAACATGAAATCTTATTTTGCTCCCTAAACTAAACAACAAATGATTAGGAGAGGGAGAGACAGAGTGGGTACTCTCTACATTATAAATTACAGTATGACAGAAGTTTTGACAGTGTCTTGGGGTGGAAATGTTTGTAGATTGTTTTTACATGCGATAAACTCAACATTTCACTAAAAACTAATTTCTGAATTGAAATGAATTTTAGTGTGTTGTGTTAGCTTAGACAAGTTTGAATGGACTTTCTTTAAGGAAAGAAAGGACAGAAAGACACAAAGAACATTTTCACAGTATCAAACACAAGAGGGTCTCAATGGGCCTTTGTTCACAGGCAGTGAAATCCTTTAGTCCTGCCTTTAGTTTGTGAGAGTAGGAACAACCATCATGCTCAAAATAGAATTCAGTGCCAGATTAAAACCTGATTTATTCACCCCTAACCCAAGCAATCGTCATTGAGTTTTGTTTACGTCAGCTCTGCCAAGTACCAAATCCCAGCAGCCCCCCAGATTATCCTCTACCTTCTGAAGCTTGCTGGACTACTGTTTTTCCTTTAAGATATAATTTTGGCATAACATCTGTACCATCTGTCAGAATGCAAAGAGTTCACAATCATTTCTAACTTCAATTTGTATCTTAAAGCAAATCTTCCTGCCAGCTTATACATTTTTTTTAGAATAGATTCAGAGTAATGTAGAAATGGCTTTTGCTAGATTTGATCAGGGCATTGTGTGTTTCCTTCTGGATCAGGGAGGAATGGATGCGATCGATCCAGGCAGTGGCAAATAGCCTGAAGAGTCAGCAGCAGGATGAGGAGCCCATGGAGATCAAATTTGGCTCACCGAGTGACAGCAGTGGCACAGAGGAGATGGAGATTGCTGTGTCCAAATCCCGCACAAAAGTGGTCAGTATTTGCACAAGCAGCGCCTGGCAGCTGAGTGTTTGCTGTGTTTGTCCAGCTAAGCTCATCTTTATTGAGCAAGTTGTTCAAACTTTAAGCCTCTTTCTCAAAGCTTTTTTGGTGAAGCAACCAGTAAATGAGTGGAGGGTAACATTTGAGTATATATTTTGTCTGGGCTGATTCGCTTCAATTGATTTCAGATAGTGCTGGTTTTACACCATTAGTTTGTCTATTTACTGCCAACTTTGTTATCCAGTGTATAAATACACAGTATGTATGGCTGTTAAAGTTCAGTGATAAAGTATGTGATTCTCAAAGTAGTTACATTTCCATTCCTTGTTTTGTGAAAAAATTGTTCCTTGTATGGACCTATCCTTATTTAAATGATTTTACATTGCTGCTGTTTCTCAAGGGTCAATTTAAAGGTCCAATTCTCTAATTTTATGAGAAATATTTATTTGCGTTTAAGCATGTCATGTTGTAGACTAATGTGATTAATGTGTGTTAGAATGCACCAACATTAGTAGTGATGATACAATGGGGAGCAACTGACTCATCAAAATGCTGTTCCTGTACATTACAAAGACAGATATTAAGATGTAATAATCATGGTGTCTTTAAACTAAGCCAGGTGTAAGCTCACTCTGGTGTGTGTGAGTGCACTAGATGTATGTCCTAACATATCTCTGACTATCCCTGTTTGTACAGACCATGAGTGATTTTGACTACCTGAAACTTCTGGGGAAAGGGACATTTGGTAAAGTGATCCTGGTGAAGGAGAAGGCCACAGGGATGTACTACGCCATGAAAATCCTCCGCAAAGAAGTCATCATTGCTAAAGTAAGCGCTAATCACAGCACAGTAAAATCTTGACTTTTCAATTTCTCTCGGAACATCATTGCTATCTGTCAGTGTGGTCTTGCTCTCATTACCGAGTGTGTGTGTGTGTGTGTGTGTGTTTCTTTAGGATGAGGTGGCTCACACAGTTACAGAAAGCAGAGTTCTCCAAAATACGCGGCATCCCTTCCTAACAGTGAGTTACCAGTGCCTGTATTGTAGCCTCAGTTTGTGCTCTCCAAAATTAATAGACCATTTAATCAGTATAATGCAGTCACTAATTTTGTTTTCCTCCTCCATAGACACTAAAATATGCATTTCAAACGCATGACCGGCTATGCTTTGTGATGGAGTATGCAAATGGTGGAGAAGTAAGTTTTCCTCTTTCTCATCTGGCCTACAGTTCTGTCTGATGTGTTAATATACCTGTGTTTGACCTTTGGGAAGATAGCTAATTGTAGCAACCCCCCTCCTTCATCTTGTTTTCCTTTGCTCCTGACTAAATGAACCAAACTACAGATGTTAACATACATTGTAGGGAGTGCTTTGGTTACTGCAGGGTTGATACACGCACACAGAGATGTTTAAACACACACGGAAATGACCACAACAAGTACTCAATGCTCAAAAAATATGTTTCAAAACCGGATTGCATGGTAGCTCACCTGGTAGCACGCTCACCCCATATCCTTACCACAGCAGCCCGGGTTCAATTCAGATATTATTTGTGAAATCAAGGACCACAATGAATTGTCCCTCAATTTTATCTGTACTTTTTTTGTTGTTTTCCAGCTCTTCTTTCACTTATCGCGGGACAGAGTGTTCACAGAAGACAGAGCGAGATTCTATGGTGCAGAAATAGTGTCAGCACTGGAGTACCTACACTCACGCAATGTAGTTTACAGGGATTTAAAGGTAACGTGTCTGCTTGCTCTGATGGTATAGTATTCATTTATTGTCAATACACTGGGGTTAGATTATCATACAATCTAAGGTTATAGCAAGGCATTTAATCAGTGCTGCAATTTCAGTAATTACTTAATAACTGGGCTCTTTGTGTGCATGACACACAAATCTATTCAAAAACCAATCAATCATAATATTACAACATTTGCACTAACTTCCTAGGTACAATGTTTAGTCCTCTTCTATTTTCAGTCATATATTGTACCAATGGGTGCTGTGTACCATATTACATTTTTCAGTCCTTTTCCCGCCATCAACTGATTTGACTCTAATTTGAATCTTTCCCTGCACAGCTGGAGAACCTCATGTTAGACAAGGACGGCCACATAAAGATAACAGACTTTGGGCTGTGTAAAGAGGGGATCACAGACGGAGCGACTATGAAAACCTTTTGTGGAACCCCGGAGTACCTGGCACCAGAGGTAACTCCGTAATGGCTGTGGACTCTGGATGAGAATAGAAATAGACTGAACTGCAACAAGTTAAATATGCTTATCTTTGTTGATTTCTTAGTTTCCTTGGCACAAAAGGGTCACTAAGGCTACGTTCACACCGCAAGTCTTAATGCTCAATTCAGATTTTTTGCTTAGATCCGATTTTTTTGCTGTTCACGTTACCTTTTAAAATGTGGCCTATATCAGATTCCAGTGTGAACTGTTTGCGGTTTCGAACTGACCCGCATGCGCAAAAGAACAATAACAA